CTAGTCCAACCTCCTGCCTAGGCAGGAAACCCTACACCACTTCAGACAAATTTGTTATCCAACATCTTTTTAAAAACATCCAGTGTTGGAGCATTCACAACTTCTGGAGGCAAGTTGTTCCATTGACTAACTGTTCTAACTGTCAGGAAATTCCTCCTTATTTCTAGGTTGCTTCTCTCCTTGATTAGTTTCCATCCAGGTTGCTTCTTGTCCTGCCCTCAGGTGCTTTGGAGAATAGCTTGACTCCCTCTTCTTTCTGGCAACCCCTGAGATATTGGAACACTGCTAATCATGTCACCCCAGTCCTTCTCTTCAGAAATAGTATTTCTCAGCAGATTCTACATACCTGGAGGTATGCTAGGACGCTTAGGGTTTTAATGGGACCATATATGGTGATCCAGAAAGAACATCTAATAGTCCTTGATTTACAACCATTAGTTCAGTGACTGTTCAAAGTCACAACTGAAAAAGTGACTTATGACCTTTTTTCACACTTACGACTGTTGCAGCATCCCCATGATCATGTGACCAAAATTCGGATGCTTGGCAATTGGTTCATATGATCAATTGGTTCATATGATTGGTTCATATGATCACCCATTATGACCTTGCGACAAGCAAAATCCATGAGGAAGCCAGATTCACTTAATAACAGTGTTACTGACTTAAAAACTGCTATGATTCTCTTATAACCACTGTGGCGAGAAAGCTTGTAAAATGGGGCAAAACTCACTTAGCAACTGTCTCATTTAGTAACAAAAAAAATTGGCCTCAATTGTGGCCGTAAGTCAAGGAAACTATCTTTATTTTTTTTAACAAGGCAGTTTCGTCTGAGATAGGGTTATAAAATTTGGTCTGCCGTGGGCTTCAGAAAATAGGATTGTATCTTTAAAACCAATTGCAAAAAATAGAAATGAGGGAAATGTGAGGCAGCTTTTTGGTCTCTGGGAATAGAGGCGGCTGCTGGCAGGAGGCCCGCCAGGGTTTGCAGGAAATTGGAATGACAAAATTGGAATGTTTGTCAAAGTCCTTCTGGGATCTGAATTGCAAACCCAATTGCTCTGAGAATGGAACATCTTAATAAACTTGGCAAAGCTAAACTGCAGCCTACTGATGAGATGGTTATCTGGGTCGTTCTTAAAACATGATAGGCAGCCCAAGGCCCAGGTTTTAAAATTCTTAGAAGAAAAATCTAGTGTAGCATTTTTCAACCTGAGTCACTTTAAGATGGGTGGACTTCAACTCCCAGGATTCCCCAGCTGGCATGAATTCTGGGAATTGAAATCCACCCATCTTAAGTGGCTCAGGTTGAGAAACACTCGTCTTCTGATATCATTACAGGTAGTTTACAACGTACAACTACAATTGAAATTTTTGTTGTTAAGTGAGACATTTGTTAAGTGAGTTTGCCCCATTTTATGACCTTTCTTGCCACAGTTAAGTGAATCACTGTAGTTGATAAGTTAGTGATCCATTTGTTAAGTGAATCTGGCTTCCCCATTTTCAGAAGGCTGCAAAAGGGAATCACATGACCTTAGGACAGGGGTGGGCAAACTTTTTGGCTCGGGGGCCTCATTGACTTTTAAAATTTGACAGACGGGCCGCCACCTGGTGTCGAAATGCCTGTCATTACAAGTCAAAATCAAATGAATGCAATCATTCAATCATTCACATCAAACCTTAATTCTGTACCAATCTTCGGCGGGCCGGATTAAAAAGACCAACGGGCCGGATGTGGCCCGCGGGCCGTAGTTTGCCCACCCCTGCCTTAGGACATACAATGGTCTGTTCTGACCAAGGCTTCCTAAACCATAATTACGCACACATTTATTTTAAAAACAAGACTTATTTTATTGCAACGCTGGGAATTGTTTTCATTCCCAGCCGGTAATGAATTCTCAAACAGTCCCTCAAGATAAGCACCCACCTTTCTCTTCCGTGAAGTGCTGCCAATAACAGAAGTATCAAATGAGCTGGAAAAAAAAACCAACCGAAGTACAAAGAGCTTCAAGAATGAATTTGAATTGAATGAACGACTTTGCTTCCTGCAAAGGTTTCATCATCTTTGCCTGTCCTTTATACCTTATGGGAGGGGCAATCACTTCCCAGCCTTACTCCCAAGTCACCTCTTTTGTTTCAGCTGCTCTCGCCTTTTAGCAGCTCTGTGCACACACACACTGGGAACAGGCTCCCCTTGTTTCTCTGCCTCGCTGCTGCCAGACTCTGAAGGGTCCAGAGGCAGCACTCACTCTCAGATGGTCCTGGCCTCATCTCGGCATCGGATGCAGGACCCTTGTCCAAGTCCTCTCCAGACTCCCGGACTGATCCCCGTTCTTCCCCACTGTCCGATTCCGCTGCTGTCTGCCGGCAAACCACAACAGGTCCTAAGCATGAACTCATTGCCAAGCATCTGAATTTTAATCACGTGATCATGGGGAATAACTTTGAACGGTCACTAAATGAACTGATGTAAGTCGAGAAGGACTACCTGTACTTTCACCCAACATTTAAGCGGAAGCGGCTATGCATTTCCTAAGTGGGGAGATCCCTTTCTTTGGCTCCCCTTTTCTCTTGCAAAGCAGAAGGGACACCGAATTGGGGTTTGGAACCCAGCCCGTTTTTTTAATGTTAGGATTTGGGGAGGGCACCATTAAAAATCTAGAGCTGGATGTTCCAACCCTGGAACTGTGCATGAAATCGGTGTCCTCTACCACCTCCTTCAAGTCTTCTTATTTATCCCCGGGCAGCACGTGTTACTTTGTCAGACTTTCAGCCAACGAACTGTCACCACTTCATTTAACTCTGGCCCACTTTTGGAAAATAAACTGCCCACCTCTTGCCTTTCTTCCCCCTCCTCTCCAGTAACGTGATTCATGGCTTCCAGTTGGGTGCTTTCCTGGGACATATTAACCCCCTTCTTGTTGGGAGACCCACCAAAGTGTTTGGAGATGCTTCCTTTTGTGGATCTGGAGAGGCTCCCCTTTTCAAGAACTTTATAAAACTGTTTACTCATCTGTCAGAAGGTGTTGAATCAGATGGAGGGAGCCATTTTGCTGGGGCTTAAAGCCAGCCTCCTCTTCCATCTCCCTCTTCTCCCCCCCCCCAAATTATCTGGGGAAACTGCCAAGGAACTGGAACTTAAGCCAAAGCTGGAGCTATAACCAGTCAGACCAGAATATGGGACACTGCCCTCCCCCACTTCAAGCAGCATATTCCTGTGCCAAGTTGGGGATTAATAGCTTTAAGAGGCACTATGGATCATACTTGGCTGTAGAGGCAAGTGCCAGGACAAATTGCACACGGTCTCCTCTTTCTGCAGCGAAGATTTCTGCAGGGTTGGTAGAACTGCAACACAACCGGCGGGATTTATTTACTGTTGTTCTGCATCATGTTCCAATCAACTCGTAGAGAATTGGGATCATCATCTCAGCAGGGAAGCTTAAAAAACAGCAGGTTTTGATCAAACTTGTCTGGGCCTCAGTCATTCCACCTGCAGGAAGGGCACAGCTGAGGGCCAATAGCCGAGGGTCGTGCTAATACACCACCACAATTGAGCCCAAAATTTCTGTTGTTCAGTGAGACATTTAAGTGAGTTTTCCCCCATTTTATGACTTTTCATGCCAGAGTTGTTAAGTGAATCACTGCGGTTGTTACGCTATATGCTCAGTTGTTAAGCGAATCTGACTTCCCCATTGGCTTGTGATAAAGTCACAAAAGGGGAAATCACACAATTCTGGGAGGTTGCTACAGTCATAAATAGGAGTCAGTTCTGGGCATCTGAATTTTGATCCCATGATCATGAGGACGCTGCAATGGTTGTAAGTGTGAAAAGTGGTCATGTCACTTTTTTCAGTGCTGTTGTAACTTTGAACAAATTGTAAATCAAAGGCTACCTGTAACCTATTGAGGACTTCATATATAGATGTGGATGAGAGAGAAAGTGAGAGAAAGAGAGAAGGAAATGAAGAGAGGAGAAAGAGAGAAGAGGAGACAGAGAGAAGAGAGGAGAGAGAGAGAGAGAGAGATGCTCACCTGAATAAGTGGACTATTCAGATGTGTTTAACTTAAGCTCCTATTATCCCAGGCTACAGTAGCTAGAGATGGTCATCAAACCAGGCTGGCACCAGATTGAAGAAATCTTAAACTCGGCAACTTTTAAGTTGTGTGGACTTCAGCTCCCAGAATTCCCAATTCAACCATACTAGCTGGGAAATTCTGGGAGCTGAAGTCCACCCAATGTAAAGTTGTTAAGGTTAAAAGGTTAAGGCTGATTTAGATCTAGACATGGGACTATAAATTGCATGAACCAGTGTGAGTGTAGCTGGCCCTGCTGATTTGAAACACGTTTTCCCTTCAGCTCTTGCTATGTTTTTCATTTTTTTTTAATAGTTTAAAAAGAAAACATTACAAAGCCAGTGCAGCTCTCTGGAAAGAATTGGAAGCTACCTTTCTAAACAGATGTACTGAGGACTCCTTGATCTCTCAGGGAATTATTTCTGAGCAAACAGAATTAGAATAACTTTGCTCCTGAGGCCCCTCTTGAGTTCAAAGCAGGGTGGGTTTTAAAAAAATGTTAGGCAAATTGTGCTGTGTTTACAATAAAGCTTCTTTGGTATTATTATGAGGTTTCTTTTCTTTTAAAAATAGATATATAAAGAAAGGGAAGTTGCATGCAGCGAAGCAAAGCACCAATTTGGTTATTTCGTTGGTTCAAAATCTTCAAGCATGACAGTTATTGTCCTGCATTCATGGAAATAAAAATATGGGTTGGGAGGGGGGGCAGAGTCTAGCGCTTTTTGCAAAACCAGCCATCTAGCCTCCTTACCCCAAGGCAAAAGTAGGTGGTTTGTTCGGCTTGTTTAATTTTTATGATGTCTTCAGATCAGTGGAAAGTTCCTGAACTTCTGGCAACTTCCTGAAATAGTCCCTGCAGTATTCTTATCAAGATTTGACCTCCAGTGGTTACTTTCTCTAAGTTACTACAATCTGTCCTTCTCCAGGTAGCCATGGTGGAAGTACAACTGGAAGACTATGACTACCCTTGGGAGCTACTGGTGGCCTTCAGTGCCTGCACAACAGTGCTGGTGGCCGTCCATCTCTTCGCTCTTATGGTCAGCACCTGCATCTTGCCCAATATCGAAGCTGTCAGTAACATCCACAACCTCAATTCGGTCAACGAGTCTCCCCACGAACGAATGCACCACTATATTGAGCTGGCCTGGGGCTTCTCCACGGCCTTGGGCATCTTCCTGTTCCTCACTGAAGTGGTGTTGATTTGCTGGGTCAAGTTTATGCCTGTCGGCAACATGGGGACGAGCAGGAAGTGCTGCACTCCGGAAAGGCTCCATGATGGGAACACCACAGTCTCTACGGGCAGTTCTGGCTGGAACGCTGCCATGGCCTCCACGGTGATTATGGTTCCAGTTGGCGTCGTGTTCATCATCTTTGCTTTGCATTTCTACCGTTCCTTGGTGGGGCACAAAACTGATCGGCACCAGCAAGAGCTGGAAGAACTTAACCAGATCAAGTATCAGTTGGACGGAGAAGCCACGGCTCTGCAAGTGGTGTGAGTTGGCAGCCTCACTTGAACTGCAACTGATGTGATCTTTTAGAGAGAAAGGCGCTGCCATCGGTTGTATCCTGATTTTGTCTCGATGGAAAAACTGTTAAGTAACTGCCACTGTTGGAATTTAACCCCAAAGCTGTGATGTTGATGTCACTCCACAGTCTCCAATGTCCAACAACATTTGTCTGGATTTCCTAGGGGGCAATTTTCAAGCCCAGGAGAGCTTATTGAAACGGGCTGCTCCTGAAAAGCAGGGAGTGAAATCTAGGGAACCTTCCCTGAGGAACTTCCCCGTTTGGTAGATTTTTGATCATACAGTAAAATGTTTACAGGAAGCAGTTGTTGGGTGGGGAGAGAAAAGGACAGCTTTGGTCTCTCCAGGGGTGAGATGGTCACTTCATCCTGTAAGATTTCAACTTTGTCTGCAGAACTGGAGAAGACAATCAAAAGATCTTTGCTATTTCTGACATTTCAAAATGGGTGGGTTTGAAAAGTTCAGGGCAGTACGTTCATTTGCAGTCCGTTTTGCTTCTCTTCTCACCTTTATACACATGGAATAGTAGAGTTCACCAACCAAGATTGGTTAGACTAACTTTTGAACAGGTGTTAGAGCTGCTAGGTCCCAAGAAAGAGCCCTAACTTTGTCGACCTCTAATTAGGCCTGATGTTCTCAAGCTGATCTCATCTTCATGCTTTCATTGTGCAGTTCCCCTTGCTGTTTGTTGGACAATCTGAAAATATCCCTGATAACCAAACCTTTCCATCAATTTGACGGAGCGTCACAGCATCTCCAGAAGGCCTGGCCTTGGATTCTCAAAGAGGCTAGGAAGTGCTTGCATCTTTGATTCGGCATTGTAAATCCAGTTCTTCCAGTTGGTTCCCTCCCCCTCTTCTTGGGACCCCCTAAATCCCACATTCCCAGGCAGAACGTTTGATCTAGCACATCTAGAAGAGACTAGGATGGAGAATGCTGTGCTGTAACCAAACTCTTGCATGCAGTCTATATGCCATTCTTCAAATGCTTGTTTGCTTACCTCTATGGAAACTTGGCATCAGTTCTGGATCATTGTCAGAGTTGGGGTCGGTACAGAAAGTTGGACTTCTGACCCAGGAATTCCTGGGATATGCATATTATCCCCATATATGTGCTTTGCCCCCAGTCATAAATTGTTTGCCCCTCCCCAGGGATCCTTATTTATAGAGGCAAAGTCACACAGTATGGGGGGGGGGGGGGGGGAACAGACTGCTTGGCTCCACTGGGAGATGGCTTCGTTGTTTGGAGTATTTTCCAGAGGAGGAAGAAGACTACTGGGGTATGGTAGAAGTTAAAATCTAAGTCCATTTTAGGAATTTGTGGATAGGAGAGGAATTTTGCTTGCCTCTTGCACTTTCTTTTAAGAACAGATTTGGTCTCAGTCCTTGGTGGGGAGAGCCACTGAATGTTAAAACCAGGCTGATATCTTCTCCCTCTCCATCTTCCTCAACTTCCTGTCCTGCACATATGTGGACTAGCATCTTATCTTGTGTTTGAAGAACCAAGAGTGGCGGTTGAAGAGTTAGGAAATGCCATTCTAGAAGACTATGTCTTAAGTAAGAAGGTTAGAGCAACATATCACAGGCAGCTCTTTATCAAATATATTGCAAGGCGTACATATGCGTCTTTGTATCAAAGGAACCAACCACAGTGGAAGCAGGTTTCCTGCTGAACAGGAAGCGGAACAGTTTGAGCCTTCGGTCTTCAGCTGTTCATCTCTTCAGGAACGCTCAGATGTTTTCCCTTAAGAGTTCTGCTTCCTCAGAATTAGGGACAGTATGGACCCATCTCTTTTGGGGGGGGGAGCAAAGTAGTTGGAGATAATTTGGAAATGTGGGAAAGATATTTTTGTATCGATAAAAATAACACATCCTTTGTCTATCATAGATTTTCCAGCTGTTTTATTGGAGAAGAAAAATACATCTTTAGGATGTGCGTGTAGGAAGATGGGGAGGGGGATCAAAGTAGAATTAGACATACAGAAAGCCCAATTGACATTCCCAGGAACTGCAGGTCAGTGTTTCTCAACCTCAGCAACTCTTAAGATGCATGGACCTCAATTCCCAGAATCCTCCAGCCTGCATGGGAGGGTGAATTCTTCAGTTCTGGGAGCTGAAGTCCGTGCATCTTAAAAGTTGGCAAGAGGTTGAAAAGCAGAGTGCTAGATCATGCAAGCAGTAATGAGAAGAAAATGCATGGAAGCTGGCTGGGGATACTGCTAAAAATATTGGAAGCACAGCCGCTACTACTTTCTTCTATCAAGCAATGCTTTACTTTCCCCTTAAAAAATGAATTAATTTAGTCTTAACGAGGCCAGCTCAATTACTTGTACATCTCAGAGCTTCGCTTTTAAAAGCATTAGGGAAACCAGTTAACTTTACATCAGCCTTGACTAGCCTGGCTTCTTCTGAATGCACAGCTTCCCTAACTCTGAGTTGGTATGATCATGGGTTTTGTAGTCCAACGTACCTGAGGGGCAAAGGTGCTTTACATCTTAACAATGCAGGGCTAGAGTTTTTACACTTGTGAATGGTACACAATTAAGAGCTTGGTACACGCTTTACCATGTATTTCTATTAATGAAGGAGGGCGGCTGCCAATTGGGACATGTTTATATATATATTTAAAATAAAATTGTTTTTAAAGAAAAAAATGAAGTTTGTCTAACTCAAATTATTAAAATAGATTGAAATTAAATGTCACTCCCAGGATTACCAGCTGTACATATATCACTTCCCCAATAGTTCTCCCTGCATTTAGAAATGTAGCTCATCAAAGGATTCTTTAGCCCAATTTTTGCACATCTTTGACATGCTCAGATTTTATTACATGAGATTATGTTCAGGAAGAGTCACCCAAGGTGAGACATGCATCTGGAATGGCTCAACCTGGATTGGGCGTCATTTCCTTCATCTGTCACTGTTGTACTGCAGACATACTCAAAATATTTTATTGTTGATGGTTATGTCGCATTTGGGGTCGGGATAGGATGCAAACTTACTCTTGTCAGGAAAAAAAAAATCCAGATCAGATTCCTAAAGGAGTTTTCCTGACGCAAGTACCAATAAAGTTTAAGAGACCAGATAGATGGTCTCTCTTAATAAATGCTTCTGAAATAGCATTTTGCACTGATTGAACTCTGACCTGCCCTGTTTAATGAAAAGAAGGTGCAGAGCACAGGATATTCTGAATTGTGGGTTCTGTTCTGCTGTTCAAAATTATATCAGAAGTTCTTGATCTTGCCAGATCTATCCTTGATTTCAACAATTCCATATAAATTGTATGGAGAAAAAAATAGTAGTCAATCAACTGGAAGGGTATTCAACCTTTTGCATATATTTTGAATCTATTAAAAACTGTACATAAAAAGTAAGCCTCATTCAAATTAGTGGAAAGGCATCACATATAACTTAGTACCATAGAGATAGTGTTATCTTGCATTCACTTAGAAATTTGTTGAAATATACAATTTGACCCGTGGTGCAGAAACTACTGCATCATCATATATAAATACAGATTGTACACATAGTTGATCTTGCTAATCTCAAGAGTTATCTGGATATGAAACCACTAGGAAGTTTCTAGATGGTAGGGAAGCCCAAAAAGCACCCTGAAAGAAAGCAAAGGGATGACATTCTCAACTTCTCTTTGGCACAAATGCGGGGAGAAAATAAGACACTCTTCACTTCAGTATTTGGTAACACAAAAGCTTATTTTTTATTCCTTCCTCCACAAGGAGCCCAAGACAATAGTTAAGCAAATAAAATAAAGCCGGATCTAACCCAAGTTTCCTGGGACTCGGTATTTCTAATGATTTCCCCTCATTATTCTTTATCACCCTGATTGCCTTTATTACCCATGATTACCATTATTATTTAGGATTACTCATCGTAACTCAATCACATGAATCATGGTTAATGTGTATATCTTAACCTCACAGAGTTTTACATATACCGCGCGTATTATTATGATACAGAGTTTATTCCGATGAAGGAGAATGCCATGCTTCAGATCGTTGTGGCTTCGGTTCAAACGCATGTGTTGCATAGTCGCGACAGACATATTCTTACTGTTCCCAAGAAAATAATGACAATAAATTGGCCAGGAGTCAATCTTCATGTCAACAAGACAATTTTTAAAAAGTATATACATCTCTAGCTGCTATTCCCTAACGTTTTGTAAAAACTAAAAGTTTGCTGTGGCAATCAATTCTGCTCTAGGGGTCTTGGCATAGTTATGTGTCAGTTCCACTAGATTAGACAAGGAAATAAATTATATAGGAAGGCTAAAACTATATTTATTGAGATTGGCTATAATAATAATAATCTTCCAGGTCTGTGCTATATCACCATCTCCTTAAGACTTCAGTGAATAAGGACGGCATCTGCTTGAACTACTTCCAAATGTTATCTCATTGTTTAAATGGTGTTTTAACCCCTTTTGTTTAGGTAATAATTCCTTCCTATTTATGTTATAGTCATCTTCAGGGTGGATAAAAATAAATGATTTTTTTTAAAAAAAATTAAAAATTGGATTTTTTAAAAAATATTATCAAATGTATTTTAATAAAATGCTTTTGGAGTAAAAATCTAAAGATAGTTTTCTATTTAAGATACCTTAATAATTTAGTTTATTCAGCATGAAATGGAGCTTAGTTATGTAGCATGAGGCTTTATATCAGTGGTAGTCAACCTGGTCCCTACCGCCCACTAGTGGGCGTTCCAGGTTTCATGGTGGGTGGTAGGGGTTTTGTCCCCTATTTTATAAATCACCATTACTGTGGAACCAGTGGGCAGTTAGAGAAAATTTTGCTACTAACAGAGATACAAAAGTGGGCGGTAGGTATACCCCTGCTTTATATTCTGCAATATTGGGACTATCGGTGAGTCAACAGCAGGTCAGAGGAAAAGCTGCTGAAGGACAGAGATGACAATTGCCCTTTAAAAATCATGATTCAAATCAACTTGATTTAAATCAAATCCACCTTGGGACTCATATTCTTTACTGTCTGTCAAGTAAGGTACTGGTATTTAGCCTGAACCTGTTTGCTGCTGCTTCAAATTGCTGCTTTTAAGATACTGGTACTTATTTGAGCTTCATTGGGTAAAGACCTTGTAATTTACATTCAAGAGACAAAGAGGTTTTACGCATCCATTCTCATGCCCTTTAGCCCAAGTGTAGCATGTATGAAGCCTGGTCATTGCAGAATAAGGCAATAAACTTTATCCTTGAAATTCCAGGAATACCTAAATTGAATTCTGCTTGAAACCAATCAAACTAGCATTAGGAAGAACCAGACCTCCTCTCAGCAGGCTCCCTGTATTGAATACTTTAAACCATTATTTCACTCAGCATAATCAATTTTAAAAGATTCTTGTAATTATGGAACAGGTTGTCAGTGTATAACTAGCTATCCTTTCTAAAGCTGTATTACATATGTAATAAAATCATGCAGCTAAAGTGAATACAAATGTGGCTTTGAAAACTATACTAACAAGGGACTAGATAAAAGGGGACTATTTCTGAGAAGAGATGGAAGCCAAAACCAGGAGGAACCATCCTATTTCTGTCTGTCGGTCATCTTTTAAGGATCAGCCAGAAGCTAAATTTTAATGGTATTGCCATCTAGTGGGGCGAAATAACAGTGCTATACTACATACACTCCCCATTTCAAAATAAAGCAGCTTTTAGGAAGCAGGATACCGTAATATGAAATCAGATGTCTGTTTTCACTGTATGAACATGGGCACAGGTTTTTTTTTATCAAATACACAAACACACACAATTTTTCTGGTTCAAATGTTAAAAATATTTTTATTACACTTTTAACCTTATAATATTAATTATAATCCCAATTTACATCCCCTTTTGATAAGGAAGAATAGGAATGAAATGGCAGATACTTCTTTAGGCACTACATCAAAAGAACTTTCAAGGTTAGTAAATTAATACGTAATGAAAAGTAGGTTTCTTTATTATTCTAAATTTTAGAATGCTGCTGTTCACCATTCACAACTAAATATACTTAGATGTCAAGCCATTTAGAGAAAAAAAGTTTTAAAAATGCTTTTTAAATTTAAAAAGTAAGGAAGCAATTTACTAACTTTACAGTTTAGCTAGGTATCAAAGCAATGATGTTAACCAGGTTTTTCTGAATGGCCAAAAGTTCCGGGCTGTAGAATTTATTCATGTTTGCTTCCTTTGTTTTGAAAGAAATAATCCAAGGCTTATTTTATTTACTGTATTTTTATCTATCTGTCTGTCTGTCTGTCTGTCTATCTATCTACCTACCTAGCTACCTACCATCCATCCATCCAAAGTAACTCTTATTAGTTTAATAACAATAAGAAGCTCAAAACAGAGGTATAGTGCTATTCAATATTTCAAAAGATATCTAAATTTCTTAAAATATAGATAAGTAAATGTCCAGCCTTCAGAAAAATCTGCAAAAAAGATTGCCAGTTTTTTCTTCTAGTCAAATATACTATTATTATATTGGGAATATGAAACTCTTACAGAACAATTACAAATAATCCAGAATTTTTTTAATCATCACATTTTTATACTATCCATCTCATCTAAGTGACTCTGGGTGGCTTACAGTAAAAAACTCAGTTCAACTATAGGAAACTAATTTCTACCTGTCCTTTACTCAATCACCTTATTTTCTCTTAAAACACTTTCTATTTTTTTTCTTTTTATACAAAAACACTCATTTCCATTGCGGCCTCTCCTCTGATTTGCTAATACTTTAGTGGAATTTCTTCATACAGTATGTTCCAGTACAATGAACAAATTGCTTCACCATTTTAATTCCCATGTCTTCTAAGCCATCAACAGAATTTAGTTTGTTCATAAAAGAATGTCTTATTCATAGCCTGTTTTTCCTTCAAGAGCTCAAATACCACAAGCATAAATACTTCTATCTCCTGCTTGCTATCCCCATAGCAATAACCTTGTGACCAGGGGTGGGCTTCAAAAAATTTAGCAACTGGTTCTCTGCCCGGTTGCTGGGTGAACGTGGCCATGGTGGGCGTGGCCTAGTCGGCCTCCTATACCATGGTGGGGAGGCATTTTTGTTCTCCCCAGGCTCCCGAGGCTTTCCTCGAGCCTCTGGGAAGGCGAAAACAGCCTCCCAGGGCTCCAGAGGCTCTTTTGAGGTTGAAGTCCACCTATCTTAAAGAAGCTGAAGAAACTTCTGGGATGAGTAGCGAAACATTTTCAAAGAAAAACCAGAAAGTCCAGTTGCCTCTTGAAAAAACACCTTCAGGACACCCATCTTAAAGTTGCTGAGGCTGACATTATTCTAAATCCTAGTCTTTAATCAAAATCCCATACTTTGCTCCACATTATACAAGCCTCCATGCCACTTGCTTTGGAGAAAGAATAAAGGAATGTAATAGACAACCTTCCAGAAAAGTAACTTTCTGCGGGCATATTGAGCAATATATTACTTATATATTTAAAACAATGTGTAAACAATGACGACTGTAATATAAAAATCTAACCACCATCATGCCACAGTGATTGTTATATTAAAAATACTGTTACAATAAGCAAGCATTAAATATCATTTTTCAGGTAAGCATAATCTGTTCTTAAATTTTTACCTCCTATATGCATTATTATGCATCTAATACAGACTTCAATAGGCTCCTTGAGCATTAATTAGAAGGAATATCTGGGAATATTCTGTTAGTTCCAGGAAGCACATGGAAATGAATAATGAAACAAAGCAAAGCAATCATTATCTCTGGCTTTACCATGATCTTTCTCAGTACTATATTTTCTAGAGCTGTCAAAGCTTCAAAAAATTTTCAGTAACAGGTCAAATTCTGCATGCAGTACTAACATTCTATTTCAAATGAAGCAAGAACACATTTTCTAGCATATTAACCATGGGATGGATTTCTGCTTGTCCCACATCTATTAATAGCATAGAGCCTCCTGAATCTGTTAGTCTTCCAGGTACATTTTTTTGGCTGGGGGAGGGGAGAAATGCATGCATCTTGATTTGAAAGGACTGCAATACAGGTAGTTCTCGACTTATAACAGTTCATTTACCGACTGTTCAAGGTTGCAATGGCGCTGAAAAAAGTGACTTATGGCTGTTTTGCACACTTACAACTTGTGCAGCATGATTGTGTGATCAAAGTTCAGATGCTTGGCAACTGACTGATACTTATGACCATTGCTGTGTCCCAAGGTCATGTGATCCCCTTTTGCAGCCTTCTGGCAAGCAAAATCAATGGGCAAGCCAGATTCACTTAAACACTGTGCTACTAACAACTACAATGATTCACTTTATAACTGTGGTAAGAAAGGTTGTAAAATGGAGAAACTCATTTAAATGTCTCACTGAACAGAAATTTTGGACTCAACTGTGGTGGTATTAGCATGGCCCTCAGTTGTGCCCTTGCTGCAGGCGGAATGTTTCACTTTGCTACATAAATTTTTGGGCTCAATTCTGGTCCTAAGTCGAGGACTACCTGTACTTCCCCCTCACCCCCCAAAAAACTGCATGTACCCCCATTCCTAAGAAACTTCAGGGAGCAAATCGATTTTTATGCAATACTGCAGAGAAATAACTGTGCTCTTCCCTGCTGGATTCCCCAATGGAAGCAGAGGCCCACGCACCTGTGTTGAAAAACTACTATTTTGCCACATGGAGAAGAAAAAAATATTTTCAAAAATCTGTTCCTCGTAACTTGGGGCAGACCCCCACTGCCTCCAAACCGCCCTATAGCTTCCTTTCCATCTTGTTTCTCTTCTGGGACTCAAATTCACGAGATTTCACAGTTTTAGCTGGAAGTGAACGAGCCAAAAGCGGCTTTCAAGTCTCCATTTTGGCTTCATTCTCTCGGCAAAAGGAGCGCCGGCCCTTCTGCTCTGAGGTGAAAAGTGTCGCCTGTCCCGTTAGAAGGAGCGGTAGCTTCTCTCCCGCCGATTCTCCTTTTCGCCCTCCACCGAACCGAGAGAAAAATTTCCACTGGGGCCACCTCTCACACCCAAGGCATCATGACGCCAGGGCGAACCGTCGGGTCCCTAAAATGACGCGTCTTTTTTTCCTGTCAGGCAGGGAAGAATCTGCGAGGACGAAATCGCCGCCTCGCTTCCCTTCGTCGGAGCCTAGCGGCCATTTCGGAACCACCGATTCGCCTCGAGGTAGCGGTCGGAGGGAACGCCGAAAACAATTCAAGAGCCCCGCCGACCTGCCCGAAAGCTATCCGCCAAACGTGCCGACGTGTTCAGAGGGCCACGCGGTGGGAAGCGGATTTTCCTCCTTATCGCTTCTGTCGAAAGTACCGATCAGAGGAACAAAGGGAGATCCGGCGGGGCCCGTCTCGCGCGGAGGCGGGGCTAATGGGAGGGGGGGGGAGAAATGGAGCGCGAATCTCGCGAGGTCTGACGCGAGACGCCTCTCCTGAATGCGTTGGCCCCGCCCCCTGGTCCCTGTCGGTGGCGGTGGAAGCGGCGGCTTGTCACCCTTTTTCCCCCCTTTCCCTCTTTTCTTCTTCTCCCCCTTCCCCTCGCCTTTCCCTCACAGGGCGCGAGGCGGAAAGGCAAGATCGGCGGCGGAGCGCGAGGCCGAACCGGAGGAGGGGGCCGCGCGTGCGCCCCCTGGAGCGGAGAAGGGGGGGGGGAGCGGGGAGGGGCAGGTGGCGCTCGCGGGGGGGGGGGGGTCGCAGCGCGTGCGGGGATGAGGGAGCGCGCATCTGGTGGGCGGGGTCGGGGATACCTGATGGGGAGGGAAAGACCCGGAGGGGGGGGTTGAGGAAGAGGAGGCTGAGGGGGGAGTTGGAAATGGGAGGGGTTAAAGGAAGGTGTAATGGGGAGGGGGGTAGCCGAAATAGGGTCCAGACAAGAGGAGGTGCAGAGAAGAGAGAGGGCCTTCAAGGGGGTGGGGGAATGGCGGGGTATGAATGGTGGTGGTGGGGGGTCCCGGCTGAGGAGAGAGAAACAGGGTCGCTTCCGCCCCATACACATACACACACACACACAAATCATCCTCAGGTGTGGAGAAGGTTGTGTTTTTTTTAGGTCTCCTGAACTAGGCAAGCTGGGTTGTGGAAGTTGGACACCTTTCTAAGGATGGGACGCTGTGCTGTAGACGGTTCTGAGGAAGGTGACTGAAAAAGGATGAGTTGTGGAGATATTGGGAGGTTAAGGAGAAACAGATGATATCTTCCTTGTGAAGATGGGAAAATTAAGAGAATTGCTTGAGAAAGGCAGGAAATTGGAAACAACACTCTTCTGTAAGATAAAGAAGCACAAATAAATTAGAACTATTGGTAGCAAATCATAGATTGAGGATGGGCTTTCTTAGCTTTAAAGAAAATAGCGGGTAAATATTTGAGGTAGAAACATTCAGTTGTCTACATAGACAACTGAAACAAGAGGGCAAATCTTTGTCATAGGCTTAGAGAATATTATATGTTTATGCTATTTATTATTCTCTTGCCAAAAGAATCGAACTCTGGGAATTTCCCCACAGATAATTTTATAATATGTGTTAGCTTATTATTTATGGGTTCAGTTTGCACCATTTTGTCTGATTATAAATAATACCCGTAATGTTCAATTTTTAATTATTTGAATAACTTAGTTAATTTATGTCTCTTTTTTTTGGTGAACATAGAAATTTCTTCATATGGAAGTGGTCATCCCCAAAAGTTCAAATTTGGGTCCTTATATCTAGATTTATCAGAATTTTGCATATAAAATCTGCTTGAAAATATTTCAGAATTCAAGTTTGAATCCTCATGAGAATATGTCGTGTTACTTGCTTTTGAAAACACTTTTCTGCTTTCTTCCTAGTCTCTTAGATATTCTGTTTCAAATTATGGATTGAACCAACTCTTACCTGCTTTTATTGAGAAGGAGAAAAAAATACTTGTATAGCTATACATTGAAATTTACCAGTAGTTTGACCACAGAAGAGATCATCTACATCAGGTTTAAATTTATTCCTTTCTTTTATTATGATATAATTTCTATGTATTCTAAGATATGTATCCCTGTCCTTATGCAATTAGCAGCTGCATATGGGAGTAGAATGTTAAATTACAAGGGTTTCCAAGATTGCTACTTAAAATTAATTCAGTATTTTGTTTAAAAAAATCATCTGCTGGCAGATTGTGAATACATTGACACAAAAGTATGATTTAGGGTCAAGTGAAAATAAAATAAAACAGTCAGGAATTTTTTAAAAGAATTTTTTGTGGCAAGGTTTTTCCCAACAGTTTTTGGTCATGCATCTGTCCCCATTACTTCAGTTCCAGGATGATTTGATTCAGGGATGGATATCTGAATAGAGGAGATATCCCATTTTTAAATACCTCAATAAGCAATATTACAATTTTATTAAAGAATCATTATTTTTCTGACTTTCAGGAACTATTTCTTATCAGCTTATTTTTCTTTGTTTCTTCATATAACAAAATTGAAGTCTTACTTCGATCATACTTCAGTTTCTGAGATTGCACATCATTTGCTAACCAAATATTTCTTTAGTTAATAGAAATAAAGGTTTACTTTTCAGAAAAAAAGATGAAGTTAAAAAGTCTGAATGTTCTCGTTTAAACACTTTTAAGCAAATTTCTATATGCTACATTTTGCAGATTCACTTTGCCTCTAAACAAATAAGACTATAGAATCATGAGTCCAGGCAGTTCTGTTTTGTTCTAAGTATACTGAATTACATTAGCCTTGTACTGTAGACTACAAGCCTTGATTGGTATAAATATGCCCACTGGTTCCTTGAAAAAGAAAATGACCCCAGCTTTTAGTAGTTTTAGTCAGAAGTATTGTCTATCTTGTATTGAGACAATTATGGTAAACTGACCATAGACAAAGAATATAAAAGTATTTGAGATTTAGTAGCTTTATTCAGGGGAAGGGGGAGCAAGTTCATTAATCAGGCCTTATAACTTAGGATATCATGTGAACACAGCAACTGGGGTTCAGCTATTTTCAAAGTCAACTGCACATTCAGGTACTTTGGCATAAGCCACGGAGTCTTCTGAATGCTGTAAGTAGCTTGAGAATGCTAAACAGATCTTGAAATAGATGCAGGAGAAATTTTCTGAACAGATTGTTTCACAGTGCTTAATATTAAAACTTGTGGTTCTTTTATATACAGAAAGATATCCTTAGATGGTGATTCTGAGTTTGAAAGTATGAAAATAATGAATGGCAGTAGGCTCTCTCATTGAAATTACTTCTGCTAGAAATGAACACATGATTTAATATATTCCTTTGATTCCATGTGCATCCTGCAGTGTAAATGAGTCAGAATGGATCAGGAAGGTGGGGGTGACTTCCAGAAAGCCCCTAACTTCCAGTGGAGAAACTACAAGCTCATTGTTGATCCTATGCTTAAGGATGGCCCGCACAAGATCTACCGCTATGACGGAGTGCATTTCAGCACTAATGTAAGTGAATAGTATTGGGTTTTTTATTTACTTTTTACTAAATTGTACCTCTGTGTTCTTTTTTAATATCTTTTCCAGATTCTGTGTATTGCTTCTCCTATTTTCTTCATGTACTGTATTTTGCTGAGTGTTAACATTTTAGTTGGCTTTCTATCTCTTACATGAGAGCAGATTCGGTGTGACACAAATCTTTGGATGAGTCAACTCTGCACTGATCCTTGTCCAGCTTTTTCATGACTGCCACAGGCTCCCCATTCCATACTGCTCTTTTTCTTTATGTGTCATTATACATTTATAAATTAGCTAACACAAGAACCTGAGTATTTTCCATAGTTTTCCAAAGGGTGTGGCCAAAAATTCTGATATTTCCTTCTTTCATATTGAGTTTAACTTTTAGGAACATCATCTACACCATTTGCCAATTTTGATAATATTTTGTACTATCTAGCATGCAATAGATTTCTGTTGTGAAACTTGGCTAGTGGACCTTGTGTGTTGTCTCTTAAAGAGACAACATTTGAACCTGTTGATGATCTAGGCATCTAAAAAAGGTGGTGATTTTAGTGAGGGGGAAGGTAGTAGTTGACTGGATTTAGGTAGTGTTTAGACTTCTGCTTAAATCTCATAGTAGCCAGTGATTTTCTTAGCATGCTCAAGCATTTACTCCACTAAAATCAGTAGGAGTTTAACTTACTTTCTTTTTCTAACACATGTTCATCATAAGTTTTTCTGTGTAGAATAAAAAGGCAAAATTTCCAAGAATGTTTCTTAGATAGTTAGTTTCTATGTATTTTAACATTACAAAAAGGGCATTGTGATTAAGACTTATGAAAGAGTGCTGGTATAATACTGAAGGCATAAGGTTCTTGGTAGTTTCGAAGCCTGTTAGTTTCCAAGCGTCCATAGTCTACTGTGTAACAGCAAATGGAGAAGTTCAAGTCAACCATATTTTCCTTTCTAATTCAAGCAAGAGACAGGGCTTGAATTCCATAAATAAGATTCTCTGTTTTTAAAGTTCCAATCAATTCTTAATAAGAGCTATCATAAAAGAGAAATGACTTCTTTGAAAAACATTCATAGAAATGGGAACAGGCCTTGAAGCATTGTGAAAATCACAGTCCTTGTTTCTTAGTTGCTAATCATACTTACATATATTTTCTCTTTTACACACTAAGCCATCCATGATATAATTATTTGTTGATGCTTAATATTGTCTTCTTCAGCATGGTGTTCTTCTAATTTCCTGAAAAGGAAATATTTTGCAATCACACTGAAATATAAAATATATTCCGCTGTAATCTGTATTAAATTGAGGTATGCAAATTTTTTCAGTCAAAATATTTGCATCATGAAATATTTAAATATCTGAATGCCAATGACATCTTACTACGAGTTTCTCAGTATTAAAACACAGTTCAGGTTGTGAAATAAAAACTAGAACATACTTTAACATCAGTATGGTTTGTTCTGAAATATATAGTGTATCCTAGTACAGGATTGGAAATTTTTGTCTGTCTGTCTATCTATCTATCTATCTATCTATCTATCTATCTATCTATCTATCTATCGCTTGATTTGTGGAAAAAGTGCCGCTGAGAAGAAATCAGAAATAAATTTAAGCCTTATGCCAAACACTTCTAAAAAGCAACATACTATATTGCACTCAGCATGGGACATTTCACAATTTGTGGTTGAAACATTTTACACACCCCTAGAATTGGAACACTATTTTCCTTTTTCTAAATTTAATTTTTTCTAATATATACTGTGCTTGAAGTTTGATAGAACTAATTTTCTAATAATTCAGTTTTAGATAGTTTGATTTTGCTTGAATGTATTTTTTAAATATTCTTCCGGATTAGGCAGGAGATAATGTGAATATAGAGTCATATAAAGCATATGTATCTTTAATTAAATAATGCCAGTTTCAGCTTGGCACTGTACCACATAAAAAAAATAAAAATAACTCAGAAAAATTCCGCATTCTATAATTCAGAGGGATTTCAAGCTTCTATTTCCTTGAAATAAGATGCTACTTGAAGTAGAATGAATCTTCTCTACTATTTGCTTTTTTTCTTCCTGTACAGAGTGTTAGTTTCACTTTCATTATAGCCTGTGAGGTTTTTTTTAATTAAACATTGCCTTACCTGGGCATGTTACCAAGTATCAGAACTAATAGTGACAAAATAATTTCATTTAGAACCTGGAAAGAAAATTATTCTAGAATGATTTTTAAACCTTTTTTCAAGTTTAGTGCCTTATATAATTGACATTTGTAAGTCCATATAAAGGTAGTACTTGACTTATGACCACAATTGTAAACCAAACTTCCCTCACTAAGTGATACGGTCATTAAGTGAATCATGCTTAATTGTATGAATGTTTTTGCTGCAAATGATATTTGTTGATGTGTTGCCCATCTTAGAATAATATTAATCTGCATAGTGTACAATAGATTTATGTTTTAATTATTTAATGATTTTAAAATTTTTATTTGTAATTCTGTTTTTATTGTATACCTCCTAAAGTCAGATTTGTGAAATGGGCAACTATATTAATTTGATAAAATCAAGAAGTACTTAATGCCATTTTGTCAGTAAGGATTTTGAATCACCACTACTTTCGAATCTTTTCTCAAGGACTCAGGTCACACTCCTGTAAAAGTTGTTCAGGATCCGAGACATAGGAAATGGTCTAAAACCAGAGATCTTTCTCTTCCTGTCCCAAAATTTAAGGTAAGCTACACTTACTTGGTTACAGATAATTTTTCTCCAATTCCCTTAAAGCCTCCAGATCCATTAGCAGAACACTAAGTATCACATATGTATTTCTTGGAAATGCATTCTGAGATTTCCTTTCATTTCTAAAGATTCCCTCAGGATAAAGAAGGTTGGAAGATAAGAGTAAGTTGGTAGGGAAATTGAGCCCTGTCAGTTTAAACAGTAAGCATATATATCTACCTCCTTCAAAATTGATGCTGAAAAATAAGGTAGTATTCAAGGAGATTGCTATAGTTCTTTTATAAAAACTAAAATTCTCAAAACTGACCAAGAACAGCAATAGTGGCTCCTAGGAGGACACACCATGTTGCTGCATTTTGTTCAGACTTTCTGTATTTCTTTTGGATGAATTTTGGTGAAATATCAATGGATAATAAATGTGTGCTTAAAAAATAAAAGAAGAAGAAACTTTCAGAAAAGTACAGGATAAATAAAGGATATCCAAAGTGTGTGGGTGTATATAGAAGTGTCCATTTTAGTTTTGGAAATTATTGCCAAGGAAATGGTAATACATTGTACTTAATAAGATCTGGGATTTAAATGGAGAAATATCTACTTCAAGGGCCAGAGACCTGGACCCAGATGATCAAAGTTCAGCAGAACCATGATTTCTGAGTCTATCCTTATCAATATTCTTTAAAACTATTTTCTTAATTATTGGTATGTAACTGAACTGGAAGTTGATTTTAGCTTCCTCATCGCATCTTGCTTTCTGTCATTGCTGCAGCTAGATGAGCACTACGTGGGCCAGATCCCTCTGAAGGAGGTGACTTTTGCTCGGCTCAATGATAACATCAAGGAATCCTTTCTCTGTGAGATGTGCAAAAAGTATGGTGACATTGAGGAGATTGAGATTCTGTATAATCCAAAGAATGGCAAACATCTGGGTCTGGCCAAGGTGCTCTTCACCAGCACAAGGGGGGCGAAGGAGACAGTCAAAAACCTGCACAACACTTCAGTCATGGGCAACATCATCCATGCCCAGCTGGACATCAAAGGTAATGACCATTTATTTATTTATTTTAAGGGATTTATATTGCCACCTATTCGCACATGGTGACTCAAGACGGCTTACAAGAATATAAAAACTTCAGATAAAAAACAATAAAACTAATAAAAGAGAGAATCATATAATAAAATAATAAAATAAAATAAACCCTCCGCCTCGACGACTTCGGATGAGCCATTTAATGGGCTCCATCCTACTCTGTATTCCCCAGGCCTGCTGGCAGAATCAGGTCTTCAGTGACTTCCAAAAGAATGTCAGAGTGGGGGCCATTCTAATCTCTGTTGGGATGATGTTCCAGAGAGGGACCCACCACGGAGAATGCCCTTCTTCTGGGTCCTACCATGTGTATCTGTCCCTAGAGCAGGGCTGTTTAACGCCCATTCCCGGTTTAGCAAAGGGGAAAAAAGTCCTGATATGTCACGTGACAATGCTGTGATGCTGTGAGTTTGACACCCCTGCCCTAGGGAATGGGAGCCGCAATATTCCCTGCTTCTCCTCTCTGATGGGTTGGCAAGAGATGGTCCCTCAGATAACCTGGTCCCAAGCCATGAAGAGCTTTAAAGGTGACAACTAACACTTTGAATTGCACCTGGAAGCAAATCTTCAGCCAATGCAGCTCCTGCAGGAGAGGTGATGCATGTGCACACCGCGGTCTACAAAAACATTTGAGCCGCTGCATTTTGCATCAATTGGAGCTTCCAGATGTTCTTCAAGGGCAACCCAATGTAAGCGCATTGTAGTCAAGATGGAAAGTGACTAGGGCATGAGTGACCATGAGTAAGGATTGTTGGTCCAGGAAAGGCCGTAACTGACGCACAACCCACAGTTGCGCAAAGGTCCTCCTGGCCACAACCGCCACCTGCTCTTCAAGCAAGAGTCACGAACCCAGGAGAACCCCCAGATTACACACAGGATCTGTTTGGGGTAGTGCCACCCTATCCAAAACTAAAGGTGGCAATTCTCCCTGGTTCAAAGAACCCCAAACCAAGGGCCACTCGGTCTTGCCAGGGTTTAGTTTCAACCGGTTGCTCCCCATCCAACCCCTGTCAGATCCAGTCACTGTGAAAGGGACATTGCTTAACTCACCACAGGCTTAACTCATCTTTAGTCACTCTCCTAATTTAGTATCATCTCCCTGGTTTTGAATGGCAACTGTTTTTTTGTTTTTACAGGTCAACAACGTATGAAATATTATGAACTGATTGTGAATGGCTCTTTCACACCCCAGACTGTCCCAACTGGAAGCAAAATGCTGAATGAGAAGTTCTTACCTGATTCAGTAAGTTTAGAAACTTATTTGAATCTAACGGATTAGTTTAGGTGCTCCTTTTTCTTCACAAGATCTCCCCTGTAGGTTTCCTTCCCTATTTAAGACTTGCTTAATTGTTTGATCGCCCAACAAGAGAGAATCTGTTACTAACTTCTGCTTTCTAGGATACTGCTCCCTTCCCTCTGCTGAACTGCATTCATTGCCTACCTGCAACTCTCCTGTGTCCTATAGGTAGTAGCTGAACACTTGCTTTAGGCAGCTCAGTCTTCAATTTTGCCATGAGTGCATTTTGGTAATTGAAGTAGCTGAGCTAAGAAAATGTTAGGTATCATCTAAGACAGATGCTTACCTATTAGGCAGCGTGGCGTGAGCCACTTGGCTCTGCATTGCACATGAATGTTAGCTCTGGGCAAGAAGTGATATCAAGCAATTGTCAACCTTATTCTTTTTACAGTCAGAGTCTCGAAGACACCATTCGGCCAATTCCTTGTACCCGTGTAATACAATGCCTTCAACGCCTGGCAATGGCATCCCTTGTTCTCAGGACACTCCATACTCCAGTGGCCGACAGGACACACCTTCTTCCTATGGCCAGTATACACCACAGTCCCAGGGGACTCCGTATACCCCTCGGGGAGGAACACCATATTCACAGGATTCTGCCTACTCTAGCAGGTTAGTGTTTCTCTCTTCTTCTCTCCCCCCCCCCCCCCCCCCCCCGAGACAAGATTTGGGGAAACCATCCCAAATAGTGTAGGAGCTTTTCAGAGCCAGTTCATTGGGGGCAGAAAAGATGGGCAGGTGCTCATGGAACTGCTTCTTTCTTTTCCTCTCCAAGGCAAGGGACCCCAGGCTACTCAAGCTACCAGCCAGAATCAACGTCCTACAAATCGTCTCGGCATGAGAACAGCTTTTCAGACTCGTACTTCCGCTGGCAATATGTTTCATCCTCATCTTCATCTTCCTCCACTCACTACCGCAGCAATGACCATCACTACCCACCTTACAGTCAACAGTTTGGTGGTAGCAGCAGCAGCAGCAGCAGTGGTGCGGCCACAACCAGTAGTAGCCGATATCAGCGTCTCTCATCCACCTCAGGGCGATCTTCCTCCTCCTCCTCCTCTCATCGCTCTCATCCGAGAGAGGACTCTGGCTTCCATTCCCGACACAGAGAACGTTCTCAACGGGATGATCCTACTCTTCCATCCACCGTCACAACCACTACTCCTTCCACCTGTGTTGTCACTGCAGCTTGCTCCTCATCTGTAACAACGGCATCAGAAAGCATTCAGTTCCAGAATAGTCATGGTTTTGCCCAGCAGAGTGTGGAACATTTCCCAGCACCCAGTGTGATCTACCCATCTTACACAGCCACCCCAGAGTCCTTCTCTGTGACTGCAGAACCCCATGCTGTGGATCAGGATTACCGGCTGCTCCCCACGGCAGAAACGTTTGCAGCCAACTCCCTGCCTCCCACAGAATTTCTTTCTCAGGAAACTAAAGAGAACATCAGTCCAGCAGTGACTGTAGCCCCAGGGATTGATGACCGATCCCGTTCTCCTGCTGTGCAGACCTCACCGGCCCGATCTGGTTCCCCTGTCCCTGAGACTACCAATGAGAGTGTACCCTTTGCTCAGCACAGCAGCTTGGACTCCCGCATCGAGATGCTGCTGAAGGAGCAGCGGTCCAAATTTTCTTTTCTCAGTTCAGACACCGAAGAGGAAGAGGAAGAGAAAGGGGGTCCCAAGGGAGCAGAGCCACATGGCCCCTGCACCCCACCACCACCTCTTCCAGTCAGCTTTGAAGATGTGGTGCCAGCCATGGATGAGGCAGCAGGAGACGAATCCCCAAAGGCTAATGGGCAAGACAGAGTAGGTTTTCAGGGTTTGGAATCTGCTTTGTTTTGTTTTAATAGAATTGATGTGAATGGGTTCTCTATCGGCAGTCTCTGAACAAGCAACCTTCTGGGGGCAGAAGAATGTTTCAGGGCTGATGTCTAAGGAAGCTTGCTAAAGTACAAGTGCTATTGTTGTAGTTTTTTAAATGATTTAAGGTAAAACCCCTAAATGGGCCTGAAAAAATAGCATGTTTAGTGCCCAAAGAATATTAGGACAATAAAATGAAGCAGCCAGAGAACAGTTTTATTCTGCAATTTTGAACACAAGCCTGCTAGATCATAATATGCATAGGTGTCCCTTTTCCCTGTCTGTATGCACTAAAAACTTTGCAATTTTAAGTGCATATAATGTGAATCATTTTAATAGTATGTCAGCTTAATTTGCATGCTTATCAGATGGTAATTTTGTTGATCTTGCAGATAATCAATTGGGTTACTTAACCAGGCAATGTTTAGAACTAGAAATCAGGCTAGTAACCTTTCTATAATCAAGCATTTTAAAGTTTGGCAGATCTGGCCCTGTTTTTCTTGATTTTTAAGCTGAGAATATTCGTAGCTTTATTAGATTGGTCAGATGAGGAGAATGCAGGAATGGTGAACTCATATTTTGCAAGCTGCAAGTGAGTGTTGATTGGACTGCCTTCAGGCGAATAGATTATCTGCCTAATTCATTCACTCTACCACTTTCTTTGCTGTTCTCTTTCCTATTCTTAATCAGGCATCTCAGCAGTCTTCAGGTGAAGACATGGAAATTTCTGAAGATGAAGCCGAAGTTGAGCCTGCAACTCCTGTGGCAGGGGTGTCCGACCCTCATTTTTCTGTGATGCCATCAGTTCTGGGCCACATGCAATTGGGGGTGTCCTCCTTTACTTCCCACCATCATCCAGAACCACCGCCCTCTTATCCAATCCAGCCTCTCATGTCCGTCTCCCTCCCTCACCTGGCGGGTAAAACCCATTCACTCCCTAATTTTGGCCAAGTCGGTCCCCGTCTTGGTCATCGCCTGTCCGATTTCAGAGGACGAGCAAATGTGGTGGGTGGAGGCCGTGGTGCTCCCCACATCTATGACTTTGTCAACTCCATGGAGCTCATGAACAGGCTTGGCAACCAGTGGGGTGGGATGCCCATGTCTTTCCAGATGCAAACCCAGATGCTTAGCCGCCTTCAGCAGCTGCGCCAAAGCAAAGGCCAGTACGAGGACCCTTTCTCCTATCACCGAGATGCAGCTTCTTTTTGTGGTCGTCCTCTGTATGGTGCTGGGTACTTATTGGAGCAGGGCACTCACCACTTCCAGCGAGACCAGCTTTTCATGCAGCAGCCATCAGCAGTTGGGACCTCAGAGCAACAGCAACAGCAGCAGCAACAACAACATTCCTCGGAGCAGCCGCCTCTGCCCCCTCCACAGAGGCATCTTGATTTCCGGACAGCTCCATGGGGATATCAGGAAGAGGTGGCTCCGCTCCCACCACTTCCTGAAGATCCACACGCCTGTGTAGTGGACAGTGTCCTTGCAAGCCTCATGCAGGAGATGAAGAACATCATGCAGCGAGACCTCAATCGCAAGATGGTGGAGAATGTGGCTTTCAGCACCTTTGACAAGTGGTGGGAGTGCAAAGAGGAAAAGGCCAAGGTGATTTTGCGGCAGGGGAATGGAAGGGATGGGTTACCACCCACCTGAGGCAGATTGGAAGGAAATGGGAGATAGGTTATCTCTGTACAGGTAATTCTCAACTTACAGCAGTGATGGTTGCAAGGTCCCAGAGTCAGTTGATCCCCGTTTGTGATATTCTGACAAGCAAAGTCAATGGGGAAGCCAGGATCACTTAACAACTGTGTTACTAATTTAAGAACTAAAGTGATTCACTTAACAAATGTGGTGAGAAAAGTCATAAAATGGAGCAAAGTGACAGCATATTTCTCATGTAACAACATAAATTTTGGGCTCAGTTGTGGTCGTAAGTTGAGAACTACCTGTATTGTCTATTTGAGTAGTTTAGCAATATTGGGCCAGAGAGAGAGAGAGAGAGAGAGAGAGAGAGAAAGCAAGAGAAAGACAATAGTACACAGGTATATAGGTTGGCAACCTTTATAAGAAGTGATCCTTTCATAAACTTTGAGATTAATAAAATAGTTCTCAGATTGTAGTTCTATAGGCCAGCTTACTACTTTAGACTCTTCTATTGTATACCCTCCTTTCTTCCAGAATGCTACTTTCTTCCACCATGCCCGTAATTTTTCCATAATCAATGCTGCAATCTTGTTGTCTTTAGCCTTTCCAGAACACTGTTAAACAGCTAGTCAAGGAAGAGGAGAAGGACAAAACCAAACTGAAAGAACCCGCCCTTCTGTCTCTAGTGGACTGGGCCAAGAGTGGTGGGACTGGTGGCCTGGAGGGCTTTGGCTTTGGGACTGGCTTTCGAGGAGTCCTCAGACTCCCCTCCTTCAAGGTAAGTCTTAAGATACAGATAGGCTTAAGAAACAGAAGTATCTTGACAGACTTGAACATTGGGTGCTATCTAACAAAATGAAATTCAATGATGAAAAAAGTAAGATTCTACATTTAGACAAGAAAAACAAAATGCACAGATAAAGTATATTTGCTAGCTTGCTCAATAATAGTAACTGTGAGTGGGATCTTGGACTCCTTGTGGACATTCATTTAAATATGAGCCAGCCGTGTGCTGCAGCTGCCAAAAAAGGCAACACAGTTCTAGGCTGCATAAACAGGGATAGAGTCAAGATCACGTGAAGTGTTAATCCCACTTTATAATGCCTTGGCAAGGCCCCACTTGGAATACAGTTTTGGTTTCCATGATGTAAAAAAGATGTTGAGACTCTAGAAAGAGTGGAGAGAAGAGCAGCAAAGATGATCAGGGGATTGGAGGCTAAAACTTAAAGAACAGTTGCTGGAATTGGGTATGTCAAGCTTAATGAAAGGGGTGACATGATAACAGGGTTCCAATATCTCAGGGGCTGCCACAAAGAAGAGGAAGTCAAGCTATTCTCCAAAGCACCTGAGGGCAGGACAAGAAGCAATGGGTGGAAACTAATCAAAGAGATAAACAACTAGAACTAAGAAGAAATTTCCTGAGAGTTAGAACAATTAATCAGTGGAACAACTTGCCTCCAGAAGTTGTGAATGCTCCAACACTGGAAGTTTTTAAGAAGAGATTGAATAACCATTTGTCTGAAATGGTATAGGGTTTCCTGCCAAAGCAGCGGGTTGGACAAGAAGTCCTTCAGTGTCCTTCCAACTCTGTTGTTCTATTCTATACTAAAGGCCAGGGTATCCTCTGGGGCTGGAGGCCTGTTCAGGAAGCTGTACAGAGTGGGACTCATATTTCTTCAGGGGCAAATGATTTAGTTTGTTTGCCATCTGAAAAATGGTGCTCTACTCAGGAAACCCATTGTTTACTTTTGCCACAGGTGAAAAGGAAAGAACCCTCTGAAATCTCAGAGTGCAGCGAAGTGAAGCAGCCCTGCCCTTCTACTCCTGCTGAAGAGGATGCGGAAGGTGCGTAGCCTCACCTCCAGGTTGTTGATTATACTCTTTAGCCTTTTATAATCGGCGAGAGGATGACTTTTTTTAAAAAAAATTCAAAGCATAGGTATCCTTTGCTTTAGCCAGGAACGTTCCCATGATCTGAATAAAAAGCATTCTGTCCCTGCTCTCTGGTTTAGAGTCTGAATAGGTTTGACACAGAACTAGTAAAAAAAAAATGGAACAGATTTGACCAGCTGTGATGGAAATGGGCTGCCCAGGGAGGTTTAGAAGATACTACCCCTTTGAGAATGCTAATGTTGCTTTTCTTCTTCATTGGTCCCATTGTCTTGGGAGAGGCTCAGCCTATGTCACTGCAGCAGGAAAGGGAGATGAAGTTCCTTGGTGTCACTTGCTATTTTCTTCATTTTCCCTCTTTACCACTTTGCAGATAAAAAATCCTTACAAATACCCAAAACCTCCAAGAGGGACGATGAAAGGATCAAAGGTCCAGGAAAGCGGCGAAAACTTTTCTGTCTGGACAGTGAAGGAGAGGAGGCATCTGAGGACTCCTCCTCAGAGAAGGTGAGAGGAAGCTAACATTGTTTTAGCTGTTCCTGCCAGCATTATGCTTATGTACTCTTGATATTTGTGGATCATCCATGTTAAAGTTGGTTCCCACCACAAATTAACTTGGAAACAGTTTGAATATGTATTGGTTACAGAAGGCCTATTGACCTCTAGATCCTGAGTTATCCTTGTGTGCTTGGTCAGATAGCATGAAGAACCTTAAATCCTTTCTTTTCTTGTCATGTTTCTCCAAAAAAACCTCCCAAAGGAAATGGTTCCTCTGTAGAATTCAGAATAATTCTGCAAGCCTTAAATGTCTTTTGGGATAAAACTACTGCTCTGTGATTTGGGAATTCTAGCCAGACTTTGGGCTTGAGAACTTTATGTCACTGTCTTCCTAGGATGAAGAGGAAGAGCGCCGTGAAGATGAACAAGGTGCCGGAGGACACAGCAGAAAGAGGGAACAAGGTATTTTTCAGTTAATAATTGATTGATGAGAGACCTCATTAGCTGGTATACATGGTGACATGCCATTATCTGTATCATCATGGTAATTGTAATACCAGTTTTTTGATACCTGTGGAAATTAAAGCTGGGTTTAAATTGAAACTGTTTATTTTGTTTTGTTTTGGGGGTTGTTTTTATTTGTTTTTTGGTTTATTGTATGCTATCTGGAGAACTGCAGTGTATAGCCAGGTAAATTATTCAAACAAATAATTTCAAATTCTTAGCAATGTGTTTTATACCTCTTTTAATGAATTCATTTCTTCCATATGTGCTCTCACTACCTCCACCACTCCCAAGATTATCTCCCTCCATCCATACCATTTTCAGAGCATTTCTCTAATCCATAGGTAAGCAGAACAGTAGCAGTATTACTAATACACTGCTCAAAAAAATAAAGGGAACACAAAAATAAGACATCCTAGATCTGAATGAATGAAATATTCTCATTAAATACTTTGTTCATTACATAGTTGAATGTGCTGACAACAAAATCACACAAAAATTATCAATGGAAATCAAATTTAGCAACCCATGGAGGTCTGGATTTGGAGTTACACTCAAAATTAAAGTGGAAAAAATCACTACAGGCTGATCCAACTTTGATATAATGTCCTTAAAACAAGTCAAAATGAGGCTCAAAAGTGTGTGTGGCCTCCACGTGCTTGTATGTCCTCCCTACAACGCCTGGGCATGCTCCCGATGAGGTGGCAGATGGTCTCCTGAGGGATCTCCTCCCACACCTGGACTAAAGCATCCCCCAACTCCTGGACAGTCTGTGGTGCAATGTGGCGTTGGTGGATGGAGCGAGACATAATGTCCCAGATGTGCTCAATTGGATTCAGGTCTGGGGAACGGGCGGGCCAGTCCATAGCATCAATGCCTTCGTCTTGCAGGAACTGCTGACACACTCCAGCCACATGAGGTCTAGCATTGTCTTGCATTAGGAGGAACCCAGGGCCAACCGCACCAGCATATGGTCTCACAAGGGGTCTGAGGATCTCATCTCGGTACCTAATGGCAGTCAAGCTACCTCTGGCGAGCACATGGAGGGCTGTGCGGCCCCCTAAAGAAATGCCACCCCACACCATTACTGACCCACTGCCAAACCGGTCGTGCTGGAGGATGTTGCAGGCAGCAGAACGTTCTCCACGGCGTCTCCAGACCCTGTCACGTCTGTCACATGTGCTCAGTGTGAACCTGCTTTCATCTGTGAAGAGCACAGGGCACCAGTGGTGAATTTGCCAATCTTGGTGTTCTCTGGCAAATGCCAAACGTCCTGCACAGTGTTGGGCTGTAAGCACAACCCCCACCTGTGGACGTCGGGCCCTCATACCACCCTCATGGAGTCTGTTTCTGACCGTTTGAGCAGCCACATGCACATTTGTGGCCCGCTGGAGGTCATTTTGTAGGGCTTTGGCAGTGCTCCTCCTGTCCCTCCTTGCACAAAGGCGGAGGTAGCGGTCCTGATCCTCGGTTGTTGCCCTCCTACGGCCTTCTCCACGTCTCCTGATGTACTGGCCTGTCTCCTGGTGTCTGGACAATGCTCTGGACACTACACTGACAGACACAGGAAACCTTCTTGCCACAGCTCACATTGATGTGCCATCCTGGATGAGCTGCACTACCTAAGCCACTTGTGTGGGTTGTAGACTCCGTCTCATGCTACCACTAGAGTGACAGCACCGCCAGCATTCAAAAGTGACCAAACCATCTGCCAGAAAGCATAGGAACTGAGAAGTGGTCTGTGGTCACCACCTGCAGAACCACTCCTTTATTGGGGATGTCTTGCTAACTGCCTATGCTTTCTACCTGTTGTCTATTCCATTTGCACAACAGCATGTGAAACTGATTGTCAATCAGTGTTGCTACCTAAGTGGACAGTTTGATTTCACAGAAGTGTGATTGACTTGGAGTTACATTGTGTTGTTTAAGTGTTCCCTTTATTTTTTTGAGCAGTGTATATCCATGTGCTACTCACTGCAAACTAAACTCGGAGTAAAGTATTCAGTTTGGTCCTTATTTATTTTCCCATAAGTGTATAAAAGAAAACACTTTGCAGATGTTTTTCAGTCCAGAAGGAAGGACAAAGAATTATACAAGTGTCTAAAATCCAGCCGTCTTGTTTCTTCAGTTCACTTCACATTGAAATGTATTGTTCTCCTTTGAAACAATAATAATATCAATGGAATCCTGAAAAGGCTAAATTCTGGACCCGTCATCATGCAACATGTGGAAAATCTTGGAATTATTATTTTGTTGTACTTTATCCTTGATCCAGATCGTGATAGCGATGGTTCGTCCAAGTATTCACCTTATGAGGAGTCTGATGATGACAGTGACAGCACTTCTGATTCCGAAAGCAGCTCCTCTTCCTCATCTTCCTTGTCATCATCATCATCGTCATCTGATGAGGAAGAGGTTGAGAGCATGGAGGAAATAGATGGCTCTGCCACTCCACTGGAGTCATTGGGATGCACGGAAAAGAGAATATGGCCAGCAACAGGCATTGAGATGGGCAAGAAGTCAGAAGCAGCTCTCCTTCAAGGTAAGATGCTAAGCTCTGGATTTCCCTAGGGAAAGCCGATTGATCTTTCCAAGAGTGATGGGGAGGACAGCCGCTGCATCTTATCATGATTTCTGTGCTTTGGAGCTAGGAGTAATTTGCCCTGTTTGCAGCTATTAATTCAAGAATAACCTCAGGGCTTTGTACACATGTATGCTGTCCCTAGATGACTTAATTCTGTATTACGGTTTTGGTGCCAATTTTCTGCTGATAACGCTCAGCCCCCTCTTTCTGGACCAGACATTTCCAAGTGTTTTTCTGATACTGCCTCAGAATGGATATGTTCAAGATTGACCCATTTTAACTCTGGCCTCTTTGTATGAGCTTTCACATCTGTCTTTCCATCTTCAATTGGTCACACCAAATCATGTGGCATCTATTTTTCTCCTGTCTCTTTTCCACCTAACCATCACTATTGTTGTACCTGGAGCCTTCACAGCCTAAGGTTCTTTTAACAGGCCTTAGAATCTTGCCACGCAAATGATAGATTACAAATCAGCCTAATTAATAATAAATTATCATGAATAGGAATAGGGAGAAGAGTTCATTTTGCTTGGACATAATGATATTAAGGGAAATGCAAAACATTCCAAATGAAATGTGGAAAAGTTTCACACAGATAGTCCTAGACTAACAGTAGTTCGTTTAGTGACTAAAGTTACAATGGCGCTCAAAAAAGTGGCTTAAGACTGTTTTTCATACTTACGACCATTGTAGCATCCCCATTCTCGTGTGATCAAAATTCGGATTGGCAGCTGATTCATATTTATGATGGTTGCAGTGTCCTAGGGCCATGTAATCCCCTTTTGTGGCCTTCTGACAAGCAAACTCAATGGGGAAACCAGATTTACTTAATAACCGTGTTACTAATTTAAAAACTGCAGTGATTCATTTAACAACTGTGGCAAGAAAGGTTGTAGAATGGAGGAAAACTCATTTAACAAATTCTTAGTTAGCAACATAAATTTTGGGATCAGTTGTGATCATAAGTCAAAGACTATCTGTATTTGAAACACCAAATGGTCATTCTCAGAATGGCTAATTTGTGTGTGCAAACTAGCTGCTTTGACTGTGAAACAAGTTATTTAACCATGAGGATGAAGGTTCGTTCTGTGAGCATATTATGGGTTGATTTCTGAACATTTTGTTACCAGGCTAGGTAGCAGCGGAGTTTAGGGAATGTCAGTGTCCTCTATTTCCCTATTTTAACCGTGTTAGAAGTGTCTGACCTCCAAACAGCTTTGAATTGATGGAATGTTGTACACCTCCCATTATGGTACTGGTATCATTTTGCATTCAAGCCTTCCCCAAGAGAAGCTATGGTTGCTTTGATTGCCAACGGATAAGAGTAGGTCATTGCAATCTAAAAACCATATTTAAGGGGAAAAATCTTGGTCATTTGGATTATCCTGGATAATTTGGAACTGGTCATTGTGCCTCGGATTTCTTTGTTAGAGGGTTCATTTGGTTGTTTCCTTGACTGCCTGGGAAGCAATCAGACAAGAGAGGGAGGAGCCCTGAGAAACTTAGAAAAGGCCCGCTCTCATAAATCAAGCAGCTAAAAATGACACCAGGAAGTTTGCTACATTCAGACATGCAAAATTGTCTTAATATACCCTTTCAATAAGGTAGATTTAGTTCCTCTAGTTGTGTTGTCTCTCTAGTTTACCCAGCAGGGCTGACAGACACCAATTCAAAAGTATCAAGACTCTTCCTGTCCTGCTTCTTTAATGCTAAGCTACAAATGTTAGCAATCTAATATTAAAATTTCCATTTAAATAAATAGACCAAATCAAGAATCCATAGATAAAGACTTTTTTGGTCCCTTCATTGCTGAAAATAAGAACATCTTTTATATCTTTATTATACCTAGCCCTGAAAGGACTCCTTAAATCACTAACATAAACTTTATCTCTCATATAGGCCATGTTGTTGAGGAGAAGCCTACTTTACCTCAGAATGATACTTTCCTAGTCCCAGCAATAGAGGAGAAAGGTGTCTGGATAGCCCCAGAAGAGCGAACACGACAAGAACGATCTTCCTCACCCATTCCACTTCTGCCACCACCCAAGAAACGCCGGAAAACAGTGTCCTTCTCAGCTCCTGGTGAGGATGAAGGGACCTTGGAGAAGCCACTGGAATTGGCACCTTTGGGTCTCCTAGCCCCACTGCCCCCACCTCCTCCTCCTGTCCCCATAGAGGAAGCACAATCTCCATTAGTTCCTGTGGAACCCATGCTACCACCCCAAGTGTCCTTAACTTCAGATACCCCTGTTCTAGTTACTTGCTCCTTGCCTCCCCCAGCCTCCCCGGTAAAGCTAGTGGCTCCTCCCAGCCGCAGGCGGGAGCCGCCAAAAGCAAGTCAAAGGACAATCAGCAACCTGCCAGCAGACCACGCTTCTCTTGTGAAGTGTTGGTCAGAGGATATGCCAACTGGTCGCTCCCGAAACCGTTCTCGCTCCCGAAACTCAGAACATTTGAGGATACCACAACCCCCAGAGGAAGATAGACTGCACATGCGTGAGCAGATGGGGGCTTCCTCGCTACTGGAGCTGGCCAATCAGCCTGACCTGGCTGTACTGGCTGATGTGGCTCTCAAGATGCCCACCGTTGCAGGTAGAGAAGATTTGGAGGAGACCTCGGATGAATCTCAGGAGCCGAAGCGTCTGCTTCTGCCACCCGTGTTATCCCTTGAAGTCAGCAGCATCTTCATGGAGCATAACTATACCATGGCAGTGCGTGCAAAACCAGTAACTGTCTCCCGGAAACACGATGAGGCAGCACTACTTGGTTCTGCTGACCTGTTGCAGATGGAAGTATTTAATGAGCACATTGGTGAGGTTCTGGAGGCTCCGGAGGAGATAGTGGCAGATGCCAGTGAAGTCAGAACTGAATCTGAAGTGGGCGATCTTGTAGCACTGGCGCCCCCATCTCCCCAACCCCTCGAAAAGCCTAAGATACCTGCTGTCCCAGACCAGCAGCAGCCACAGATGAAGAAACCTCCACATGGCCTAAAGGAGGAGGTGGTAAAGGATCTAGGAGCATTACCTTTTGTCCCAGAGAGTCTGTTCCCTTCTGAGAGTGAGGAGGAGGAGGAGGAAGAGGAAGAGGATGATGAGAGCCTTGATAGCAGTGACGAAGGGGAGATTCGTAGAAGATCTCTGCGCTCTCATTCACATAAGCACACCCCTACCCAGCCCCCTTTTCCGCCCCCAGTCTTTGAGACCCGCAGTGAATTTGAACAGATGACAATCTTGTATGACATCTGGAATTCAGGGCTAGATTTCGAAGATATGAAATACTTGAGACTGATGTATGAGCGTTTGTTGCATGAAGACAATAGCACAGACTGGCTGAATGACACCCATTGGGTCCAGCACACCAATATCCTTCCTGAAATATGTGTTAAATTTGTGGGTAGGCTGTGGCTCTCATGAACTTGTATTGAAAGGATAGCAAACCTGTGGCTTTCCAGGTACCTCTGTGCTACAGTTGTCAGTGTTCTTACAGCACAGACCAGGTTGGGAATTGTAGTTCAGCATCTGGACAGCTTCTCTATCCCATTTTAACATTATTTTATTATACTATCAGCGGAGATTTCTGAGTATTATATTTTATTGAATTCTTCTGGGAATCCTCTTTTGCACATTCTAGTCCTCTTCCCTCCTTTCCTTCAAAGATCTGCAATTCTCTAGGTAGAAGGAATGGCTGTTAACCAAAATGGAATCTGTAGTGTCAATACATCTAGGGCAGAAATGCCAAACTGGAGGCGCATGGGCCAAATACGTTATGTACAGGCTGTGCCCACCCCAGCTCTGCGAAGAGAAAAAATGTCGCAAAATGTCAGCGTGATCTAGGCCTTTCCATCTTTCTTACTGTATTATCTATTTTATCTAAAGAAAGTAGGAAAAGAGTTACTGTATTTTTTGCTCCATAAGATGCCCTTTTTTGTCTCTCAAAAGTGGCTGGAAATGTCTGCGTGTCTTATGGAGTAAATATTGCTGAACCCACCCATTGGCCCCCACCCTTCGGCCATTTTCGGCTCTGCTTGCCCCATTTTCAGCCTCCGCATGCCCCGTTTTTGGCCTCCACGTATCCCATTTTCAGCCCATTTGGTAGTGATAAGCGGCAGCAGCAATCCCCATCACCTGGAACAGCTGATCAGCAGTATTCCGGAGGCCTATCCAGCTGCCAATCAGCTGCTGAATCAGGCTGCGATAACATGCTGAAGCTGACCAGGCTATCTGCTGTTTGCTGCAAGGACGCTAGCCAGATGAATACCGATGGATGCTAGGAGGCAGGGGCAGATTTTTTTTTCTTGTTTTCCTCCTCTAAATCTAATGTACGTCTTATAGTCTGGAGCATCTTATGGAGCAAAAAAAATACGGTAATTTCATATTCCAACTATTAGACTTCATTGGGCAAATTTAATGGAATTCTATCAAACATGGAGTACATAGCATAAAAACATTTATATTTCAAAACAATAGAAGCTTTGGTGTATAAGATATTTTAAGTGCAATGATACTATCTCTCCTCCAGAGCTGCTATTCAGTCTCCTCTCAAAGGTGCTTTTTCAAAAGGCAACTAGACTGTTTTTTCTTTGAGGAGGAGGAAGATGTTTCGTTTCTTATCCAAGAAGCTTCATCAGTTTTGGCAGGATGGTTGAGGCCATGGAAGGAATCCATCCTTCCATTACCCCCACCATCCTGCCAAAACTGATGAAGCTTCTAGAATGATAAGTGAAACTACTTCCTCAAAGGAAAAACAACAACATTCCATTTGGGATTACTTCTTCCTACTATACTAGACTTTTAGGTAGTTAAAACAAATTGCAAAAGATACACATGGTCTTTATTTAGCAGCTGTCTGAATTAGTGACTGTTTTCAGTTATGACTGTGATGAAAAAGTAACTTTATGACTAATCCTTGTATTTAAAACCTTCGCGGGTTTGTAAAGCAAAGGATCAGCTGAAGTAATATCACAAGCATAGTTACAGTTTCACTTTGACTGTTTCACTTAACCAAGTGGTCAGTCCCAATTGTAGTTGCTAATTGATTGTTTGCTTGTAGACATTCCACTTCCTAACAAGGTAACATCATCAGCACTATATGGTATTTCTCCTTGACTGTCCTGCCTCCACTCACAAATATTGCAAATCCCAAACGGAAGAGGAAATTGTCTGACCTGCGGGAACATCAAACAGGTTGTGCTCGTAGTGAGGGCTATTACCACATCAGTAAGAAGGAGAAGGACAAATACGTTGACATGTGCCCAGTCACAGTGCAGCAGTTGGACACCACTGATACCCAGGTTTGGCCCTGTTCTTGTGATGTGCTCATCTGTTTAGTATGTTTTATGCAGCATTGATTCCAGAAATTACTGATGGAAACACAATGAGCATAGGTATCGGTAGATCCTCACATATTATAAAGACTAGGACTGGCTATAAACCACAGTGAAAAATTCTGCACCACGATAATTCTTAAACCTTGTAGGAGAGAAGGCTCACAATCATTTTCAGCTTCATGCTTTAACCGGATTTTTCTTAATCCGTGTTAAATTTTCTACTGCTACATTTTGCAATCATTGACAAAGTCAGGTGTTAAGATTAAGATGCTGAAGATCCACTACCAGCAATCTGGGACTGTTTCTCAGCAATTCTTCAATGTTCTTAGGATTCACAAGACATTGCTTAAAATGGTTAGTCGTTTTCCTTTATTAATGAAAATTGGAACTATTTTTAAAACTGAAAATCAAATAGCAGAAAACAGAAGAATTGGAAAACAATGCATAAGTGCAATTTATGTGAAGTGGAAATGTTGAGTGTGCTCTCATTTTATGTCATATCATTGCTCCAACCAATTAACCTGGTAACTATAGAAGGAACAACCTGTTAATGTTATTTTATGTAATGGAATATGCATATGTTAGCCATACCATGATTTAGAACTAGTTATTGTTCATTTATGATATTCAGGTTTTTTATTTATAGATTTTTAAGTATTTAGATTTATTTATTGGCATATAAATTATCATTTTATAGGCCTATAGATTATCAATGTATATGAGTTAAACCTTACTGCATTATGGAAAATAATATTCAAATTGCAAAATTTAGAAAGTATATGTATCTCCTAAGGCACTCTCAGCATGGGAGACTTTTTGAAAAGCTGTAACTGTTGGCAGTATAGTATGCAAATTGATTGTTAATTTGTATGTTTATTTTAGTATATGTGAGAAATTCTAGTATCATTTTTGCTGCCATAGACCAGTATTTCTCAACCTTGACAAGTTTAAGTAACGTGGACTTCAGCTCCCAGAATTACACCAATAGATGCTCTGGGGAATTCTGGGAGTTAAAGTTCACACCACTTAAAGTTGCCAAGATTAAGAAACACTGTCCACCTTAAGGCATTGTCATCTTGCAAGGATGGATACATCCATAATTCAAATAATGAGATTTTTTTCCTGACTGCTTCCTTTACATTCATTATTTCTAACAAGCTTGTTATGCCTTCCCAGGGCACCAACCGCATCTTGTCAGAACGACGATCTGAGCAAAGGCGTCTGCTGAGTGCCATCGGCACCTCTGCCATCCTTGATAGTGACCTTCTGAAACTTAATCAACTGAAGGTACCAAAGCGATTTTATTAAGCAAATTGGGGGGGGGGGGGATAGAAGAGAAGTTGTCAGGTAGGGTTGGGAGCCTAGAATATATTAAAGCATTTTTTTTATTTAAATAGATGAACAGTAATAGTACTGTAAATTAAATAACTCCTTTTCCCCTTTTCATTTATTTTAGATATTTTATTTTATAATTGGCCAAAAATTAAGACGCATTTTGTTTTTTGTGCAACTTCTCTTCAGAAGTTTGAGGACTGATCATCCTATGTTTTAAAAAAAAACAATAAAACCATAATAGAATCCTGTGGAGAATCTCAGTTGTCCAAGTCATGGTTGTCCCAAAGGTGCTTTTTCAAGAGGTAACAGGACTTTCTGGTTGTTTTTTTTGAAGACGTCTTGCTTCTCATCCAAGGAGCTTCTTCTGCTCTGAAAACTGAGCTGAAGAAGCTTCTTGGATGAGAAGTGAAACATCTTCAGATAAAAACCATAAAGTCCAGTTGCCTCTTGAAAAAAAGCACCTTTGGGACATAATATAAGCCAGTTTACATGCTGGTTTTTTTTTGTGTGTACACAAGGCTGTTTCTCTCAGCTTCAGAATAAAGAACTTACACTCCATTGCTGGGGTTTCCCTCTTCCTTATATTTCCTTACAGTTCCGAAAAAAGAAACTCCGGTTTGGACGGAGTCGAATTCATGAGTGGGGCCTGTTTGCAATGGAGCCTATTGCTGCCGATGAAATGGTCATTGAATATGTGGGGCAGAACATCCGCCAGGTAAGCAAGCAAAAGCAAACTGAGCTCTATAAGGTAATACTACTACTGCTTTTTAATACTTTCATCAGTCCTGCCAGATGTTGGATGCAACAACGTGATGGAGATTTTTAATAACAAGTAATTCACCTTAAGACCAAAACTATTTCTGTAATTTAATGTGTGCTGTTTTTTAATATGTTGATTTTATTTAATTTTGAAGAAAAACAGTTGTAATGTTTGGGACATTAACATCTGTAATTAATATTGATAGAATATCCATATTCTTTTTATTTTGTTTTCTCTGATCTGCTTTTAATAAAGAGAATATTAAGAACCTATTATATAAATATCACAGAATTAAAATAACACATTTTACTGAAACCTAGAAGATAGAATACTAGATGATTAATATGGTTAGATTTAATAATATATGCTAGTCCTGTATCAACATTCTATAGGCATACTTTTAGTTTCTGTAAATTTTATTTATGCTTTTTTTCTGGTTTTAATAGCACTTTTTTCTTTTGGTTAATCATTGTATTTTCTGATTAGCAGGTGATAGCCATTACTAAAAGTTCAGCAAATAGATGCTTTTTCTTTTTTGGTCCAGTTGGGTAGTAGAAAACTGGCAATGATATGCAAAGTAGAGTTTTTCGTGATTTAATCCTCATGTTTTTAAAATTCCTACTTTTGTTAATGATCATTTTCTGGTTATTGCTTGAATTAATTTAATTTAATTGATTTAATCCTCATATTTTTAAAGTTCCTACTTTTGTTAATGTTCATTTTCTGGTTATTGCTTGAATTTTAGATGTGCTTAGCTTATTTAAAAGTTTAGGGCATATTAATTCAGTTTTTACTATGAAAAATCAGATTGTCAACATTCAACAATTTGCTGCTGAGTGTTGGTACTTACGGGTTTGTGGGTTGATTCAGATTTCCTATCCATGGAGTAGTCCAAATCGTGCTTCCAGCCTCAATCATAGCTTTCATTTTTTTCAAGCGTCAAGTGAGATGCTAAACCTGATAAAATTAAGGAAGTCTCTGGTCTTTTCCTATATATGAGCCCTTTAAAAAATAAAATATAAAGTTTGAATGGTTTCCAAGACAGATAATGCCATAGTTAGATTCTTTTTTTCTCTGACGCTTCTGATTGTGATATATCAAGAGAACTATTGGGATCCTATTTGGAAGATGACCTCTTCCCTTGCCTGTCTTTTACTGTCCTTAAATTAGCTATTGTTGCTTTTTTTATAAATAGTGAAAATGTGTAGCAGCTATAAATGAAACAGGAGAATGTAATGAAATTGAGGGGAACTTGACCTGAGTGTTCATGTAAGGCTTTTAGTGTTGGTCTGTGGGAGAGGCACCTGCAGCTAATTGGCACTAGAGGGTGCTGTGAAGGCTGCATGGAACAGCCCTGCTTTCTCAATGCTGAGAGTTTGTTTAGACAGTGGATTGAATAAATGCCAGCTGATTTTCATCCACCTGGATAAAAGCATGGAAAGGACTAGTTGGAAGACTGTGCAGTTGCAGTTTGCACAGTATGATGGCTACCCCCCTCCCTTCCTTTCCCCTAAGAGAGGGAATTTCACTTCTATTCTGAGTCTCTGCTGTGCTCATTCTTTTTCAAAGATGGTGGCTGATATGCGTGAGAAGCGGTACGCCCAGGAAGGTATCGGGAGCAGCTATCTTTTCCGTGTGGACCATGACACAATCATTGATGCCACCAAGTGTGGCAATCTTGCTCGTTTCATCAATCATTGCTGCACGGTAAGTTATGTGGAGATGGCCCCTTATTGCGATTCTTGCTGCTGCCCATTCTGTGCTAAGTTTATCCTTTACCCTTGAATGGGCACGTGGCTGCATGCACACAAGGGAGAGGGGAGGGGGAGGGAGACGAGAAGAGAAGAGATTCCTTCAACAGACTTAGCATTTAATATATTGGCCCTCCTTAGAATGGGGCAGCCTGCTCTGGTCTCTTGCTCTCTGCCTAATAGCATTTAAAGCCTTGCCAGGGTCAGGACTCTAGTTGTCTATCGGAACTATCAAGAAATGTCTTGGGACAGTGGCGTAAGGGAAAAGGGAAGAGCCCTCGTGAACTCATTCGTAGAATGTTGATCAATCAAGAATGTACATTTCCCTTGCCACTTCCCTTGTTCCCAGCATCTGTTTGTTTCAGTCCCAAGTGGCTTTTGGGTTCCCCTTCCTTTCTAATACAATGGCAGCTGCAGAACGGAGTTTGAAAGGCTTTGGCAAGAGGTGGCCTGCTGCTTTCTTTAAGGGACTCTTCACTCAGGTCTGTCTTTCCTTTCTTTAGCCCAACTGCTATGCCAAAGTCATCACGATAGAGTCCCAGAAGAAGATCGTGATCTACTCCAAGCAGCCCATCAGCATCAATGAGGAGATTACATATGACTACAAGTTCCCAATTGAGGAGAACAAGATTCCCTGCTTATGTGGCACAGAGAACTGTCGGGGGACCCTGAATTGAAACAGAAGCCTGGCATTCCTATTTATTTTGTTTGTTCACCCCATTTTTCACCAGTAGTTCAGCATCTCTTCCCACAGAGCTGCCGTGGGAAAGTTCTCAGTCGCCTTAAGACCCATCTAGAATCTTTTAGAAGTTTTCCATTTGCCTCTCCTCAGGTTCCTAATCAGTGAGAAATCTCCTTTTCTTCCAGTCAATCAGAAATGGTTCTCTCCTTCTCACTTACACTGGTGTTTCTGTCATTTTTGATCCAACTCCAAAACAGATAGCAGTTAAACACCTCTTCCTCCTTGGATGAAGAACGGCTTTAATCTTAATTGCCTACAAGTCAGTTCTGCTTTTAAATTTAGCAAAAAGTTTGAGTCTCCTGTTCACTGAAGGGTACGTTAAACAAAATTTATTCCCTTCAATTTAAGGATCTTCAGCGTGTTGAGGTCAGTTAATAAAACTATAGGAATTGCAGGGTCCAAGAAAAAACCTATGAAGAATTTTGAGACCATTCAGTGTTTGATGTTCTTGAAGGGCATAATGGTACATGTAGTTAGGAGTTGATGAATCCTTGAGATGTTATAGTTGAGGTTTTTTAAAGCATTGGATTCGTTTATAAAACATAGGTTTATTGAGATGTATATGAGAACAGTTCTGGAAGGAAATCCTTTCCTAAATGGACTTGTTCTGATATTCAAAGTTTTCCCTGAACCCTTATAGCCAAGATTATCCAGGGATTATGACTTCCCAGTTTCATTTAGCTATATTTTTAACTATGTGCAAAGATTTTAAACTTTTCTGGGTTTAGATGATTTATTCCTAATTCCATCTGTCATTTTATTCTTCCAACCACGCACTTAAGGTTACAATAGCAAAGATTCTGAAAAGTAATTTTATGGTGGCATTCAGATTGAACCTCCCTTTCCCTATGTTGTGTCTGCCTTGCAATAGGTATTAAAAAGGAGGGGAAATCCAAAACCCCATAATTAAGGGAGCCATTTCTTTGCTACAATTATGGCCTCAATAATCTGACTCATAGCATAAGCTAAGACCTTACCCCAATCCCCTTCCTTCCATATTTTTTTCTTAGGAGAAGAAAATTGTGTATATATCTAGTCCAGATGGATTGGTTGTTTCTTGTAGAAACACATGTTTACTGCTATGTAAATATTTTATTTTTGTTGTCCACTTCATACTGAAAAGAGAGCTGTAAATAACGTTTCATTATATTTCCTTTTCCTGCTTTTATCTATATTTGCGTCATGCCACTTTTCTTTTTAAAATGCAACGGATCTTTTTCCTTTTCTTATCGTGGAGCAAATGAATGGGGTATTAGAGGTCAGCAATGCGTATTTCATTAGCCACTTACATGGGAGTCAGTTAAAACAAAAGACTTTAGGCACATCAAGCTATTTTAGCAGGATTTACTGTTTCTTATGTCCTATCACATTCTGGTTGTTTTTATGTATGTTTCTAAACTGCTGCACTGAGATGGCAGTTCTGTTGAGGGCTTCCGCCCCCCCCCCCCCCCAAAAAAAAAGCAGACTCCCTAGAGTTAAGGTATATTGAACGGCTTCCAACTTCCCCAACCTGAATGTCTGAATATACATTGCAGAGAAAACGACATATGTTTTGCAAATTCTGCTTTAATAGTGGGGACATAAGTGGGAAAGAGGAGTCATGCTTTTAGGATAAGCTTGGGGTGAGATGCCCATAAACATAAACTTACACACACAAAACGGGAAGCCACTGAGAAGGTGACTTGATTCCTTATCCTGGCCTTCAGGAAAAAAACAGAATAGAATAGAAGGCAGTCTCCTGTTGATGTCACCAGTTAATCCCATTTCTGGGATAAGCATTACCTAATAACACCCATAGCCTTTCCTTTTCAACTGTTTTTTGCCCACCCCAGTAACCTGTTGGAAATGAACCAGTTTAGGGATAGTGAAAGTAGGAGCTGAAGACCAAATGTTTAAGTGTGTCTCTTTTATCTCTTTTTCCTGAAAATGGCTCATTCCTCATATTGTTATTGTTTAATGAATACGTTGGGAACATGGATTTAATTAAAGTTTATTTCAACATTTGAAGTCTAATGAAGGAGGTAGTTAAATGGCATCTTCTCATTGCACTATATGCTGGTCAGTGTTTTATGCTGAAGGTATCTCATTTTGGTGGAAGTCTGCTCCTGCTCAGTTTGGGCCCTTGGAGAAGAAAGTTCTACATTTTGAGATTTTTCAGATCTATTTCTTTCGCAGAATGCATTAGATAAATAGTTTACACCATCCTGAAGAGATTGTTTGGGATCTTAATTTTCTTCTAATAGTCTTAACTAGCTAAAGAAGTGTGAGAAAACCCAATGTTTTGCTTTATAGGCTGACCAAAGGAAATTTTCAGGTGGGCTAGAGTTTGAATTTGCAGTGGTAGTCTTGCGCAGACTTGCCACACTCAGCTGGATAACCTTTTGCTTATCATGTCATGTGGTTTTGTTGTCTGCATTTTCCCCCTTACAATGTTCTTAAATGTTGAAAACAAGGAAGTTGCGGCCACCCATTTTAGTTTGGAGAAGTGGAAAGTCTAAATCACCTGAGAAAAGAGTAAGGATGAATGTGGAGAAATAGTGTAAACATTCACACAAATACGTAGCATCATAGTTATCTCAGTCCTAAAGTACCAATTTCTCTAGGCCTTGGTTTGCCAATGAGGGCTGACTTTGATATCACATTCTATAATAGCAGACTTTGTTGTTTTGTTTTAACTACATCCTTCCAGATATTTGTGTCTGGGTGATTCTGCAACTGCTTTCTGACTGGCCATGAGAATTGACCCTAGAAACAATTCCAACCATTTCCCCTTTTTCTATTCCTTACTTTCCAAATGTGATTTTCCTCTGCTCAGATGGCTATGCACTTGGGGGGGGGGGGGGGGGGGGACATATGTGTAACCTACATTACTAAATTGTGAATTAAAGCAATTATAGTTGGAATCACCCATTCCATCTAGCCTGTCCTTCAAGTCTCTGTGTAAAGCAGGGGTGTCCAACCTTGGCAACTTTAAGACTTGTGGACTTCAACTCCCAGAATTCCTCAGCCAGC